CTTGAATCAGTAGACCTAATGGTGGTGTCCCTTTCATGTGTGTAATGTACTTTGGGCTGGTAGACCTAATGGTGGTAGCCCTCTTAAGTATAATAATGTTAATGAGGATGAACTACTCTATGGGAATTTAAAGCTTAGCACCGAGTTGATATGGTAAGTTGGAAGCTCTCTCTATGTTAGGCCAGGTTTCAATGAACATGTTTCTTTCCCCATAACTATGTGCCCACATAGGATATTAGCTAGTGGATCCACCTAAGCTAAAATATTACCGGTCCTACCTTAGGCAAGTAGACCAACCCTTTACGGTGTGGGATAGACACCAGATTCCATGATTTGCTCACATGGTCTATGCCAGTTAGTGCTTATTCCCATCATGTGAGTTACGTGCTATGGTTTCTCAAGAGGTTCTATGAAGTGTGGGTGGTAGTATGGGATGTCATTCATGCATTGCACGAGTAGGCTTTGAGAGGGCTATGGTGTGTTTCTCTAATGTCATAATGTCTAATGAAATGAATATGCTTATAATGATGCTAATGAGAATGTTGACTTAAAGGCTTAATATAATGATGAATGTTTAACTTGGAAATGTTATTATGAGTTGCTTTCCTTGTCATGACCTATTAAATGTGGCCTCAAAGTGGTACTTAGTATGAATGGTATTATGGGATGCCATTCATACATTGCACAAGTATAACTTAGGGTTGCCTAAGATGATGGGTCTATTATGTTATAATGATATACATGTTGAATATGCTTGTATCCTATGATTTTATGCTCAAGTCTCATGATGATTCTTAAAGTTGACAAAAATGCATGGTTTTCAACCAAAACGTCCTTTTTAGCATTATTTTTGCATGACTATCATAGTTAGTACATTTTTGTGCTAACCCATATTTCTTTTACATTTTTACAAAGTGTAGGTTCCGGATCTTAAGGTGACTTCTAGTGTTCAAAGCTTGGATTGATTCTCTCCAAAGCTAGTGGTGAGTCATCATGGTTCGAGGACGAGAGTTGTTCTTCCCTAGTTTCTTTTATTTCATTTAAAGTTTCGGACTATGTTGAAGGGCTGTGACCCTATATTTGATTCAAGTTGTATTAGATGGCCATGTGAGACAAGTTAGACTTCCGTTGTTTGTTTTTAAATAAATACTTCAATTGTATGGATAAATGTTTTAAATTCTGTACCATTTTCTTATGTCTTATGTTATGAATGCTATGAGGCTTGTATGAGGCTTTTTGGAGTCTTGTATGCCGTGTCACGTCCGGGGTATAGGCTCGGGTCGTGACAAATATGGTATTAGAGCACAAGATGTTAGGATGGTTTTTAAGATGATGTCTTACAAGCCACATCTAGTAGAGTCTTGTTCATAGTGTGAAGCGCACCATATTTATGAATGAGAGGCTATAAGATGTTAGGAAACTACACTTATTTCATTACTCTTTAAGTCGTGCCATATAGTTTAGCTCAATAAAAGTCCCTTTCGTAACCATTCTCTCGTGTATTCAGGAAATAAAGACACGAAAGGAGAATGCTAGAAGGGTGGAAGAGGAGAATGTGAATCAAGGAGTTCCTCAAGGTAATCAAGCTCTTCAAGTGAACCAAGCTCCTCAAGGGAATCAAACCCCAATTAACCTCTCGGCCATGACGGATGAGGAAGTTAGGTCAGCTCTTCTAATGAAGGCTCAAGCCGTAACTACATAAGCCCAAGCTATGACGGCCCAAGCCACTAGAGATGGTGGGACTCATGTGAACCCTAATGTGAGCACTATGACTTCTAGGTTGAGGGACTTTGTGAGGATGAACCCTCCGGTGTTTCTTGGTTCCAAGGTGAGAGAGGATCCCCAAGAATTTGTGGATGAGGAGTATAAGGCAGTTGATGCTATGGGGGTGACTTCGGTAGAAAAAGTGGAACTAGCCGCTTATCAATTGAAGGATGTTGCTCAAGTTTGGTTTACTCAATGGAAGAGTAATAGGACGGTAGGAGCGGGTCCTATTGATTGGGAGGTGTTTAAGAAAGCCTTCCTTGATAGGTTCTTTCCCCATGAGAAGAGAGAAGTTAAGGTGGAAGAATTTATCAACCTTAGGCAAGGTAAGATGAGTGTTCAAGAGTATTTTTTGAAATTTACCCTATTGTCTAAGTATGCTCCATCTTTGGTGTCGAATTCGAAGGATGAGATGAATAGATTTGTGACGGGTGTGTCTGACATAGTTGAGGAAGAATGTCGTACGACAATGCTCCATGATGATATGAATATCTCTAGGCTTATGGTGTATACTCAACAAATTGAGGAGTCTAAAATCAAGTAAAAGAATAGGGAGATGAAGAGAGTTAGGTCGATGAGCAAGGTCAACCAAGGTTCAAAAAGAGATCTTCTAACCCAGATTCTTCAAGCACTCCTAGGGTTAACTAAGAGAAAAGTAGTGGACCTCCATTTCTTAAACCTACTTGCACCAATTGTGGAAAGAAACACTATGGGAAGTGCCTAGCTGGTACAAATGGGTGTTATGGTTATGGAAAGAGTGATTATCAAGTGAAAGATTTCCCTACTCTTACGGCAAAGGGGAGAGAGGCCAAGCAAACTTCTCCTAGTGTCC